AAAGTCGTCATGACTGGCGGCTCGAGATGTGCGCTGAGTGTGTTTCCGGAGCCGTGCAATGCACGGTGCTCACCAAGAGCCGGGGTGGCTACCCGTCATAATAGCCTCGCCAAGCGAAGACCTCTTTGCAGCGTCCGAAAGAAGATGTATGTATGTATGTATGTATGTATGTATGTATGTCTGTGTATGTTTATGTATGTCGGTGCATGTATATGTATGTCTATGTCTGTCTATGCACTTATATGAAAGCCTAAGAATATGCACGTACATGTATATTTGTGTATGCGTATGTATATGTATGTAACATGTATGTATGCATGCATGTATGTACGTGTATATGTACGCATGGATTCGTACAGGTATGTAGATTTAGGCATATGTATGTATATGTCTGTATATGTATGCATATGTATGTATATGTATGTCTATGTATGTGTACGTATGTATATGTATGTATATGTACGTGTGTGTGTATATGTATGTATCTGTATGCATCTGTATGTATCATTGCTGCATGTTTACGCGCATGTGATGCGTATGCAAATGCGTATGTATATGCGTATGTGTATGCGTATGTACATGTATACACCTGTGTTTATGTATCTGTACATATTTATGTGTATGTATGTATGTATGTATGTATGTATATATGTATGTATGTATGAAAATGTATGTATACGTATGTATAGGTATGCTTGTGTATGTATATGTATGTATATGTACGTATATGTATGTATATGTATGTATTTATGTATGTATATGTATGTACATGTATGTATATGTATGTATATGTATGTATGTATGTATGTATGTATGTATGTATGTATGAAAATGTATGTATATGTATGTACGTGTATGTATATGTATGCATATGTACGTATATGTATGTATATGTATGTATTTATGTATGTATATGTATGTACATGTATGTATATGTATGTATATGTATGTAACTGTACGTAAAGGTTTGTATATGTATGTATATGTACGTATATGTATATGTATGTATATGTATCTTTATTATGTCTATGTAAACGTATGTTTACGTATGTATAGGCATGTGTGCATATGTACAGGTATGTATGTGTTTGTGCTTGTCTGTATCTGTGTGCATGTGTGTATATATATATATATCTCCACAACAAGCAGACATTTTACAAGATTCATTGCCGAGTCTGAGACAAACCGATATCAGACAGCATAGCTCTCTGCTAGTATTGGCCAAGTTCCAACGTGCTCGCATATCTTACAACGCACTATGGTAGGTGATGAGTATGATGCGACAGTGAAGCTGAGGAACCCCGCGGCGAGCTTTTTCCTGTCTCTGTCCAAAGTCGGAGACTTCCGTGGAGTGGCCGAGGTCAGGGAGAAGCGATACGCTTTGGTTTTTGCTTGGAATGCTGAGTCTAGAAGGGAAGGGTTTCGGATGAGTCTGCGGTTCGTGGGTTGATGTCGTGCCAGTATTTGCTGTGGTTAACAACTGGGCCACAAGGGATTTTTCAATTATCTAGCCTCCATGGCCCGAAGGTGGAGCCCGAAGCAATAGCTGCCTAGTGCTACGTTCCCATTCTACTCATGGCCCTTGTTCCGGAGGAGCTGGGCGAATGCCCTCGTGTCCGAAGTGCGAGCCAGAGGTGGCTCAGGCATCTCGTCGGCGCGGAGACTGCCTTAGATCTGCTCCTTTTGGCTAAGAGCTTGTAGTGAAAGGACGAGGAGATCGAGCCAGAGTTTGAACTGGAGGGAGACGAGGAAGACGACCAGGTGGGGTGAGGGCTTATCCTTCTGTTTGCAGCAGCAGATCTCGGGGTTCGGGGCTTCAGTGGTTATGCAGCTGAAACCGCGGCAAAAGCCCGAGTGGTCTGAGCAGGCCGGGGTCTGGAGCAAGGAGGAGGACGACCTGTGAAATTTTGGAAGAGTGGCGTGGTTTCGGTTTCAGTTTTATGCTTCGCGTTCCAGAGTCGGGGATGTTGAGGGTGTATGTTCATGTATCAGAAGTTCCGGGTAATGTCGACTCCTGACAATTGCACCCTCCTGTGTTACGCTAATCATATCATCGATAGTAGTGATACTAGCCAAAGTAATATAGTAGGTAGTAATAGTAATAATAACAGTAGTAATGATAACACAGTAACAGCAATAGCTAGCTTAAAAGGAATAGAAGTGATAAAAATAATGATGGCACTAATAAAAAAATAGGAGTTCGGACTAAAATAACAATGGTAGTAAGAGGAATAGAAACACAAATACCAACACAGTTAGTAACCATGATAACAATTTAAAACAACAATAAGGATACCAATACTAATAATAGCAATAATAGCAGCAATAACATCCAAAATGGAATTACCTTGTGATGGAGGGCCAACAGGGATCCATAAGCAGGGGTCCACGTTAGTTCACACTTGCGCGAGCAGCGTCATAAGTGGCCCAGCATTGTCAAAGCTGTTCGCTTGACAAATCTGAGTGCTATGGTCCTTGAGTGATCTTCGAGCTTTTAAGTTTCTGACAGGTAGATTTTGGCTTGCACGGCCGTGGGTGGGCCGAAGAACAACAGTGCCATGGTTAAACCTGCAAACACTCCCTTTCTTAACTTGCTGGCCAGCATTTTGCCTTCAATGTTGCATGTCTGTCCTGTGCAGCAATACTGCCAGAACATTTGCGTTGAGGCATATTCTGCTACAGCTAGCTACATGGAGCAAGCGGTCCGGAACCGGGATGTCCCAGTATTGGCCACATTGCACAAGATGTCACAGCCAGAAGACGAGAGCTTTGTTTTCAGTATGCAGGGTTGCAGCTTCACGACAGTCTCAAACTGGGGTGCACTGGCGGCTTGTTGGTGAATTGGGCTGTTGGTGGTTGAAGACAGAGGGTGTTGTGTATTTGCGACGGGGTTGCCGTGGTGATTTCAGCTGGGTTGATGGAGGGGAGTTTTGTGGGTATCGAGGCCGCCGCTAGGCTGGGCTTCATGCCTCTGAGGCATTCTTGCACCTTCAACCTATGGCTCAGAAGCCCTAAACTTTGGAACGGAGATATTGGCGGTCCTGAGTCGTGTTGATTGGGTCGGCCAGGCTTGCATTCAGTGCTCCAGCGCATCCGTGCATGGGTATAGGCATGGACCCAAATCTGCAGGAGGAAGATCCTGAGCAGATTCGCGGCTGGAAGCTTGAAGATGAGCTTGAGCAGGCCGGAGGTCTGAAGTGGTTTGTTCTTTCTGCTGTGGTGGCATTCTGCTGTTCCGGGACGCTCAGGGTGTATCTGGAGGTTGTTGGCCAATGGTTAAAAGGCGACTATCATCCGCTGTGACACTGCCGTCTTTTCGAGTGCAGTCCCTCCCGATACGTTGACTCCAGACGTGTCCGGTGGATCTTGCGACCGAAACTGGCAACCTGCCATGCTGCATGCCTTTGCCCAAGCCTGGCAAATGGGACACCTCGAAGCTCCAGTACATCCGTGTAAAGAACCCCCCAACAAGGCCACGACTCTGACCTCCAAGTCAGGAGGAGGCCGGCGAACTTGAGGAGATGCCGGAGCAACTCGAAGAGGCCGGGAGTTGGAGACCGAAACCCTAAGCTGATCTAAACTGGCCCTAGGCCCTAAGCCCTTCTTGTTACAGTAGGAATACTGCGACCCACAGAGCTTCAGCCCGAAAGTTGCAAACCCTGGGCATACGAACCCCAAGTCCAGCAAAGGACGTCCCACAGGGGCTCGGCAGTATCTCCCCAATTGGGCTTCCTGCCGCTGTGTCAAAGCATTGCATTCTGCCGAGAAGAACACTTCACAAGCGACTGGAGTCTGTAACAAGAAGGAAAGAACCCTCAATAACACCCTACTTCCTTGCCCCTAAACCGTAAGAGGGTTTACCAAACGGCGCCATCTTGTTTCTGCGACCTGAACACGCCGGAGGGTGTGTAAGCTCTGCACTTCTGGAGGTCGTGTGCCACCCATCTGCTTTCACCTTCAGCTCGCTTCGTTAGTGGTTCAGGGTTTGGGGTTTGGGGTTTAGGGGGGCTTTGGGGTGATCAGATTTCGCTGACGATGGATATGGGTAAGGATAAGGATGTGAGCATGAAGATGAGGATGGCTGGGTGCGTAACCCCTAACCCTTAAACCCCATAGCCCAAACCCGGAGGACGCATGGCCGGGAGCAGAAGGCCCTGAGGGCCGGCCCTGGAAAGCGGTCTCAAGAGGCCAAGACTTGCCAGGGGGTTTGGGGTTTAGAATGCTGTGCAGGGTTTAGGGTTCTTACGACGGGTTTAGGATTCTTAGAGAGGGGTTTAGGGTTCCAATGAGGGATTCTTGCAAGGGTTGAGGATTCTTGTAGGGGTTTTGGGTTCTGTTCTTTCGTTGGCTCTAAGGTTTTCTGCTCAGGGTTCCTGACAGGCTTTGGCTCGAAGGATTCAGAGTACATTGTTTATACCCAAAGGCCCTCAAACCTTTCACCCGTACCTCAACGCGAAACCTGAAACATCAAAGAGGCGCTCCAAAACAAAACAGTCAGAGTCGCATATCTCGCATCATGTCTTGGCCTCTCAGAAGCACTATCAGCCCTGTGGTGCAGGCGCCCGTCCTCGCGTTGCGCCCTACTGAGCCGTTGCAAGACCAAGAGCAGCGAAAACTCTCAACGCTGCTTCATCGCGCCTTGCCGTGATGGGTGTTTGTTGGAGAAATCTTGCGGCAACGCCAGCCACTCGCATGACATTTACTGTTCGGCTCAAGCTGGCGTCCCACGTCTCTCGCGAACGTTTTCAGCGTGAACAGCGTGGGATACCCGTGGCGAACTGCCAGAATGCCAGGGGCTCAGAGAGTGTTGATGAGAACTTGCTCCGTTTGCGGTTTATGTTTGGTTTCTTGCTCTCGCTCTTTTCTGGCATGTTGCGTGCATTCTGAATAACATCGGGCGGGCTGTGAAGTTCATGAAGTTCTCCACTCTGATCGCCAGGATCAAATCCTCAAAGCTAATGCCCAGGAAGAGCTTTGCCCTTGTCCTGTTGGCCCTGGGCGCTGATGCCGTGCGAAGCTCAGCTTTCATTCTCGGGTGTCTTGGGGAGTGATCGTTCCGATTCGCGCAAAGACGTGTGGAAGTGTAGCCGAGTTTTACCGGCGATTGAGACAAGGTCAGCCCAATGCAGAAAGTGTTCACCATGCAACGAGCTCAGAAGCCGCAAGTAGAAGCTTCTGTGAACGGCAGCAAACCTCCGAGGCTTTCCGACTTGCAGGACAAAGTAGAGAAGGACGGCGTTGCTGCAGAAAAGGCCAGGCAAAGCAAGCCTTGCAGTGCTGCAGTTTGTGGTCGCGGTTGCAAGGGATGACATCAGGCTACCGACTTTGAAAGTTGACCACTGCAGGCCTACGAGAACTACACCAAGTTCTGCACACGAGGAAAGCGTGACCTGGGCTACGACATCCAGGACGGCGAGAAGACTGTCGAGGACGGCGGCTTCCGGGCACTTCGTTCGAAGAGACGTCCCCGCTACTCCAAGACTAGCACGATGACTAATTTTGCCACGTGTAGCTGTGCAGCTGTTAGGGCTACCACTGTAGCTACTACTGCACGGCTGCTACCACTTCAACTGAACCAGGAGCTCACTGCAGCCATTGCGAAGGCGTCCTCCGACATCGACGTGTCCGCAACAAAGCTGGAGGTCTGCATTGGGCCTGGGCCAATTTGAATTGAAAGCAAGCTTGGGTCTAGAAAACAGAACCTTTTGAACACGCTTTCCCCAAGCTCTACCAGTCCCCAGCCTCAGCGGACACGCACCCCACATGCTTGATGATCTCACTGCTTCTTGGTCTTCTGTCTGGGAGTTCGAGAAGCAGTCACGGGAGGGCAAGCTCTGACTCCGGGGAGGAAAGACGACATGTCTAGTATCATTGTGAGACTGCTACCACTGAAAGTCGTAGCAACAGAAACAGCAGTTGTTCAGATTCTGAACTCAGTAAACAAAGGTTTCAAACCCAAGCCCAAGCCCCAAACGGTCGAAAAGTCTCATAAGCGCTATGTTCCTGCTGCAACCCGAAAACCTCAGCCTGTACATCCTGAAGCCTAAGCCCTTAAACCTTAAGCCATACACACTGAGCCACAATTACCGAAAGCCAAAAAGTCCCTGAAGCCCCAAATCCTTCAGGCCCCAAAAGCCTGCAAAGCTCTGAGAGCACGCTTAGTCACGGAGGAGTTGGTGGCCACGGTCACAAAAAACGAGGCAGACCTCAAGGCAAGTCGCCCGAGACCCCTAAGCCCAAACCATCTCAGAGATTTTTGGTTTTGGGTTTTTAGGGGTTCGGGGGTTGAGGGTTGTCTGTCATGTGTCCCGGAGCAGTGAGGGTTGTGCAACATAGAGCTCTCTAGGGCTCGGTGACTAGGAAAGGCATCAAGTGTCCGACCGTGGTCATCTCGCCCCACATGTACCTACTCGCTCGCCGTTCAAGGCACGGTTCAAGGCGGTAAAGGCCTCCAAATCTATTCCTTTAAGGGTGTGGAGCTAATAAACAAACTATGTCTAGAACTATGTTGTCGAAGCCTCACAATGCAGGGTAGGGGCAGCAAGGCATGAGGGCTGGAGCGCGAGGCAGGGGAAAGGCAAGGCCGGGCAGGGCAATGTAGGGCAGGTTGTCCTCTCGTACATTCCCTGTTTAGTGTGAGAGGTAAGTTGTATATCGTGGACTGTATAGTGTATATGTTTGTTAGCAATGCAAGATACTGCTGTGGCCTGTTTGACAACTGCTTTTGGTTCTCATGTATGTGTCTGCGTCAGGACTGTTGCAAGCATGTATGGCGGAGCGGGGATGTGGTGTGTTGTTGGTGGGGCTTTCATCAGACGGCGGAAGGGCAGCTAAACCCTACTTAATGAAGGGCATAAGCATTGCAAATCCTTTGCAGGCCGCACAGGAGCTCCGCGCCAAGGAGAAGGCTTGCCTGTCCGGTGGCAAACGACAGCGACGGTAAGTCCCGGTTATAGCAATGGCAATCGCATGTCAGCATGCAATCCGGGATCGTACGGCCTCCCTTGAACTTGTGCTTTCTGTCGCTTCGTGTCTCTGCAGGCAGAGCACGTGACCGCCAAAGGCGAGCTGACCGAAGCCACGGACATGCTGGCCCGGCCGGCAAAATCCCGATCAGGGATAGCAGAGAAGACGCAGTACTCATGCTGCCAATATATGCATAGTGACGGTGTCATCTGAAATCTCATGAGATCACGTAGCCCTGTAAGTGCAATCGCATGCGATGGTATGTGAGCATTCGACGGATTCCACCTCTCAGACTCCGGTACATCCCGGGGCCTCAAAGCATCGCCAGGGACGCGCCATCAAGACGCTCTCGGAGAAGTTGGCCGGCTCCTCCCTGTTGCAGCAGCAGGCTGTCTCGGAGTCCTTTACAGCTTTGCGCCGATTCGGACATGGTTGCAACCTGTTGCCCTTGCTAGGCCTGCCAGGGCACTAAGTCGCTTCTTAAAAAATGACAAACTCCGGCCTTTGAGGTGGAGGAGAAGACTGGCAGCCTCTTGGAGGCTGCGGGTGGGCTGAAAGCTTTGGCGTTCCTGAGACTCCAACACTTCCCGGAACATCAGGAGGATATAGGAGGATGATAATATATGGTAATCATGCTGATGATGATGATGATGATGACGATGGAGGTGCTGATAACTACTTCTACTATGTTGATGTCTGAAACGATGATGCTTCTACTCTAATGCCTCCTCTCGATCATCAGCGGTGGTCGTGGCAGGCAGTCGTAGTAATACTGCAGCACTACGGTTAGTAACGATAATGGCGATCTTTGCGGGAACCCTGCTGCTAGTTTGCAACTTGCCACGTGCTGGTTGCTAGTATGACGTCGATCACCACAAAGGCTTTACGCCCCCATTTAAGTTTCTTGCCAAACACATTTCAAGCACGAGGCCCTCGGTGCCGTCGTTGACGCGGCTGCTTTCACGTGCTCCAGCTGCAATTGTGGCAGTCCACAGTTTTTTTCTTGCATGGATGGCCCACGATGCTTGCAAAACCGGGTTTGGAAGAACCGCAAAGCGGAAAGGTATTCGTTCTGTGTGCGTCACTTCAAAGCATCCAGCCAATGCAGAAGCTGCCAACGGGGGAAGGGTTAAAGCCAGTCATTATGACGAAGGGAAGGAGCGGACAACAACAAAGGAGTTAATCATGCATTATGAAAGTGAACAATAAAACGAAGCCCCACAGCACTCCTATCTGCGATTCCTGTTTTCGTCGGCCAAAGTGCCTTCTGCAAATAGATGCTCCAGAAATGCAGAGGCTTCCTGTCCATGGAATGCAAGGCGTCATAAACGAGAGCTCTTGGCAGGTGCGGATGGCGGTGATGGTGGTGGTGTTAGTGTGGTCGGTGGTAGCAACATTCGAATCAATCAGCATGCTCGCTCCTACGCCCCGCCCCTCCTTACAGCCACCATAACGACGACATCAGCGACTGACAAACGCGATAACAGCAATCAGCAGAAATTACAACGGTAACCTGTGACACGATTCCTGCCAGCATGCTTTTATAGCCACAGTATAGGCCGACAAAAGTACTCGCCAAACTCAAAATCGAGGACGGATGAGAAACACTCGCTCATGGCCTTCGTGGAGAGCTGCTAGCTCAGAAGGGTTCATGCGCCTGGGGCAAGCCTGGGAGGAGCAGTGAGAGGAGAGCAGAATGCCCGGCTCGCCGCAGGCCCCGACTTGAGAAGTCTCGAAGTCAAACCGACCTTTCAGTTTTCAGCTGCCATTGTGCCCATGGCGACCAGCGCGCCTCTGCTCGGCAAGCAGGGCAAGGCCGCCCACAGCAAGGCATCGATCTTCTATGGAGCAGACGAGTATCTTGAGGAGCTTATTTTTTTTGTAAACCCTTTTTTGTAAACCCTAAACCCTAAACCCTAAACCACCCAAAAAAAGACCTTGAGGAGCTTAAGAAGAAGTACGAACACCTCCTAGAGGTGCTGTTCCTCGGGTCTCTAGGGTCGCGCGTGTTAGGCTGCACCGTGATGCACAGC